CTTTCGATATATTTTATATCCCGGTATGATTGTGTCCTTCAGATTTTCCTCATTCCACCAGGTTTCAGTGATGCCTATTATGTCAATCTCCTCCTTTAATACGAGATACTCTAGTTCACCCATCTTATTAGTCAGACTCCTAACATTCTGTTTAGTCTACAGAATCGAAGAGTGAGGGGGGATTTGATAGCAGCCTTCAACTTCCTGAAGGGAGGTTCCAAAGAGGATGGAGCGAGGCTGTTCACAGTAGTGATGGATGGCAGAACAAGGAGCAATGGTCTCAAGTTGTGGTGGAAGAGGTCCAAGTTGAATATTAGGAAAAACTATTTCACTAGGAGGGTGGTGAAGCATTGGAATGGGTTACCTAGGGAAGTAGTGGAGTCTCCATCCCTGGAGGTGTTTAAGTGTCGGCTTGACAAAGCCCTGAACGGGTTGATTTAGTTGGGATTGGTCCTGCCTAGAGCAGGGGGCTGGACTTGATGACCTTCTGAGGTCTCTTCCAGTTCTGTGATTCTATGATTCATTTGTGTAGAAGCACTTTAAAAATTTGCCACTGCTTATTTGTCTGCCCTTCTCTGATGCATTGGATTCCTTTGGATTCCTTTATTTTGCTTAGATAAAATCTATCAAAGAAAATTTTACAGGGTACAAGTTAATAACAAAGGCATAATGTATCGGTGTCAAGCTTGGGTTGTGGGGGAACACAAGGATCAGTTTTTACAGAGTTAACTAGGTACATAGGAAGCTTAATGTACATAGTCCCAGATGAGGGTAGGATGGATTTTTCAAGAGTCAGTGAATAAGTATCCTGAGGGACGCCACCCATAAAGGGTAAAGGGCCTCAGTCTGTGATGGTAATAGCACGTAGACACATGGGTGGAGCACATCCCTCCATGGAGCGTATGCCTAGGTCTTTCAATGTTCTGAGGTTCTTCTGTGAAAAAGAAACATAGTTTGTCAGGGTGCTTTCCCTGATCATGTCTCTTGTCAGCAGTGTCATGTGTCCCTTGTGAACGATATGCAGCCTGTTTTGCGGTAACAAATGGGTGGTTCCTCAATCACGTCTTTTGATGTTCTTGGTGGTGGCCGGTAACGTGCTCGGTGTAAATGTCCCAAGACCACTGGATGGTGTCGGAGACCATCAGCTGTCTCATGGGGCAGGCATAGTGCTGATCAGCGCTGCACACTCATACTACTGTCCTGTTGCAGGGGTCCCATGTGCTCAGAGTCCCCACCAGCAGGGCATGGATCTCGACTTCATAAGCCCAGGCTCTCAGGGTGTCTGCCAGCGGGATGTTTGTCTCAATTGTTCATGCTTGGGCCTTGTGGAAAGCCGGTGTGTGGTTCTCAAAAGTTATGGTGACATCCACCATGATGACCTTCTTCGTCTTTGTCTCCTTGTTGGTAACCACGATGTCAGATTGTAGCAGGCTGTTCCTGATGGGGACAACAGAGTCGACAGCGACCCTGACCCAGGGTTGGCAGGCGGGCTTTGGTCAGCTGGTCCTGGATGGCATGGCAGAGCTGCCCGGCCCTGGAGTGGGTCTAGCAGCACCTCCTGCACCTCTTGTCCTGAGCCCCATGACAGACAGCCCGGTGAGGGGGCTGCAGTTGAGTCGAGCCCTGTGGATGAACCACCAGTCAGCAAAGTGGGTGAAGTTGACCCCAGAGAGGAAGTGGTTGCTCATATCCCATTTGTTGATCATTTCAAGTATCTTGCCCTGATCCAGCTTCCACTGCTGGTTCTCCACATAATGGCAGCGGATGGCGTCTTTCATGACCCTCTCGAACATGGTTCTGGCAGGCGGGGTAATAACGATGTGCTCTGAAGTCTTAATGTGTGGCACCAGGACTCCCAGCTCCCAGCGTGCCTCACACCAAGTGCCGTGGCATCCAATCCTCTTCCCCAGGCAGCACGAGGCATTGTGGGTATGGGACCACAGCCAGGACAGGTCTCCGTCTTCTCTCCCAAACTTAACCTCCAGGAAGCCACTGAGCTATGTAGCAATGTTCTGCTTGGACGGAGTCCTGACGATACACTGCCTTGCCACATCCTGCATGGCACTCACTGCGATGTTGCTCGCCTTTGGGTCTGAGCACGTCAGGAGATGGAAGGTGTGGGTGACCACCGCCATGTCGCACAGGTCACCCATCTGGGGTACATTGCTGCCGCCCTGTCTGTGGGAGATATAAATGACATCTATGCTGGCTCTCTGTGGGAGGTAGAACCATTTCTTTACTAGCTGCCGGATGGCATCATCTACCTTCACCTTGGCCACGGCAAAGCCCCTGAGGATGAAGGAGATGCAGAGGATCAGCAATGTGCTGAGCATGTTCATCTTTTGCTGGGGGCGACCAGGGAGTTATCGGTAAGGATCTCCATAATAGAGTCCTTGGGGGTCTGTGGGACAAGGACTCTTGTGGGCATTCCCAAGTGCTGGTAGAACTGCCTCTCCTCGAGGGAGACCATGGGCTCTCCCTGGATCTAGAACCGCGTGGGCCTCACCAGCGTTGTCGATGTGGAGAGAGGCCCCCTTCTTGGCTTACCCACTTGGTGGCTCAGCTGGTGACATCGAGCATCTGCCGGAGGCCTCTGAGCTGTTGGAGATCAGGACCAGGTTGCCTGTGTAGGCCAGGACATCAATCCTCTCACCATGCAGGTCTAACCTGGCTGGGCCTATACCAAAAATGGCCTGACCAAAAATTTCATTTTGAAATTCCAGTGGTTGCAAGTGTAGTTGTTTGAGGGTGAGGTGACTTCATTGTGTTTCTTTGTAAATTTAAGAAAGCAAGTAGCTACTGGTGAACTCACCAGTTGGAAGACAATAGGAAAGTTATAATAGACAAGATAGAAGATAGAAGCACAAATGAGGATTTCAGCAGAAGTGAAGTTGTCACAATTGTGCACAGATCACTAGCCCCAGTCACTATTGGGCTATATCTACATTGGCATGATCTTGCGCAAATACTCTTTAACGCAAGAGTTCTTGCGTTAAAGTATTTGCGCAAGGGAGCGTCTACACTGGCATGTGCCTTTGTGCAAGAGATGTGCTTTTGCGCAAAAGCATCCGTGCCAGTGTAGACACTCTCTTGCGCAAGAAAGCTCCGATGCCCATTTTAGCCATCGGGCTTTCTTACACAAGAAATTCATGTTGCCTGTCTACACTGGCCTCTTGCGCAAGAACAGTTGTGCCAGAGGGCTTATTCCTGAGCGGGAGCATCAGAGTTCTTGCGCAAGAAGCACTGATTTCATACATTAGAACGTCAGTGTTCTTGTGACAGAACTCCCCGCCAGTGTAGACAGGCAGCATGTTTTTGCGCAAAAGCGGCTGGCTTGGGCCAAAAACATAAAAACAAAAAAAGACAGTGGCCAGCACCAGGTGCCCTAGAGAGGGTGGACCGAAGACAATGATCAAGCGATTTGTCTCCTGCCATCCCTCTCCAGCCTCTGACAAACAGAGGCCAAGGACACCGTTTTAACCCCTGGCTAATAGCCTTTTATGGACCTAACCTCCATGAAATTATCTAGCTTCTCTTTAAAACTCTCTACATGTCAATGTAGACACAGCCTTGAAGTATGTTTAAGAATTCTCGGGCTCATTTTGATCTCATTTAGCAAGATCCAACTCCCACTGAATAGCAAAAACACTCCCCTTGGCTTAATTGGGAAATTACATTAGTGCAATTCAGAAATAACTCCAATTAAATTAGTGGAGTATAAAAGGGTATGAGATCAGAACAGGCTTTCCATTTGCTTCCCTTTATTAAATGTGTTGGGGTTTTTTTGTGTGGGAGTTTTTTGGTTTGTTTTTTGCTTTCTCAGTTTTATTTTTGCAAGTCAAACTCTTGCATCTTCTGCATTTTTCAACTCACTGTACATTTCTTCTTGGCAGAAAAGTCCTTAAGTAACCTCTATTGTTGCTTTTTTGCCCGGTCTTATGTTCAGTTCAATTGGAGTCATATTTCTTGCGATAAAAAGACTTTCTTTGTTGGTGGTTTGTCAGGGAGGAGTTACAGGGAAATTATCAAGTGATCCAGGGCAAAAATGAAGGTGGTGTAAAAATTAGTTTTCAGAACTTGACACTGACAGAAACGTTGCAGGCTTTTTGTTTGGATTCATACATTTTCCCTAGAGTGTTTGCAACCAAAACACTGCAGCAAGAAGTTAGTGCATGAGAACCTAAAAGTGAAACTGTCTTGCACAAAAACCATAGCTGACTAATATACCTTTAGAGTGAATTGAAGTGTATTTGGTGAATAGTTTGTATTTGGTGTGTGTACATTTAACGATGTAAAAGCTGTTGAGAGATTTAGCAGGTATCAAGGAACTCATCTTCTCCCCTCCCTGATCCTGCCCTAAGAATTACTCTGACACAGGATCCTTTAAATATTTCTATAAAATGTGAGGGAAGATTTAAGTAGGAGTATGGGTCTGGGTGTGGTGACCAATGATACTTTTATTCTTGGGACTGATCCCTTGTTTGTGAAGCTGTTGTCAGTAATGGATATATGAGTGTAGTCAGTATGTACAAAAAGCAGCATTAGGGAATCCCTGAATATGCTCCTGTCACTATGCTGGAACCAACTAACATTTACTGTGGCTGTGGGCTTATTTGTGCTCCAAACTTTTTAGAGCATCATTCTAAACTGTGGCATCTTGGGCTTGTTCTTCAGTAAACCTCTGTGTAACCTGAGTTTTCTAGATTTGCTTTAGAAACCAAAAGATCAAACTATTATCATGAATAGAGTCTGGTGAGGAGTTATGTGGGCAAGCAAACCTGAGTCATTAGTTCTGTATATTGGATCCCTTGTCTCCTGTTGCTTTTGTTTTTCCTTTATTTGTGTCCCTGGAAAAACAAGGCAGGCATATCTGCCTACTCTGTATCGCTTCCCTCTGGTCTTGGTAGCGGAGGTTTATTAAGAATGCAGAGAGATCATTAAGACTGTATAACATATTTATTTTATTGTACTCACAGCATCATGTTTTGAAGGTGGGGAAAGGATGTAGTTTATTATGCTGAGATGAGGAAGTTTTCAGTGTTATCTTCTTTATCCAGTCAAAGTGTACAAGAGGGTTTAGATATGTGACAGGTCAGGTCCCTGCCCCAACAAACTTACAGTCTGGGACAATACTAATGAATATCAAGAGACTTGATTTCTTTTCCTCCTTGTCCTTGAATACTTGGCCCATTTAGGTATTCAGGTTCACCTTTGAGGTCACAGTTTTGCAACCTTTGCTAGAGTAGATTCTATCATCATTGGGATAGTCGGACATTTCTAAGGCAATCTTTATGATAAGATCTTCATCTTCTTGATGGCCTTGGTAGCGCAGTTCCTCTCGGATGCACTCTTTCACATGTTTATATTCCAGGGGCAAGAAAGGGATGAAATAGTCCACCAGGTTCTTCTGGATCAACTTGCTATTCCAAAAGCCACCTGGGAGAGAGAGAGAGAGAGAGAGAGAGAGAGATTGAGGCTATGTGGACTGCTGCTTTTTATCGGAAAAAGGTATGCAAATTGCACTCCGCAATTTGCGTATCTTTTTCTGATTGTTTTTTTGGAAGAGGCTTTTCTAAAATTTGGCCCGTCTACACTGAGCCAAATTTCAGAAAAACCTCCTTTTTCGGAAGAGCCTTTCTTCCTCGTGAAACAAGGAAGACGGGGTTTCCGAAAGAGCGTGTCTGCTCTTCCGCAAAAAAATGCAGAAGAGAAGACACATTTTCAGAGAGAGAGAGAGAGAGAGAGAGACTGCATAATTCATGTGGGCTGCTATGGGTCCCAGGAGCTCAGAAGTACTCACTGTTCTTGTTATTGAAAATCTCAGCAGATAGCATAGACTGCAGGTCTCTCAGGGGAATTTCTTCTCTTTCCTTCTGCTTCCTCCAATGATCAAGTGTCACCTCAGTTATGTTGTCCCCTCCAGCATTACTGTTAGGTGAGAAATTAACTGGATCATCCAAATGACCCTCAGCAAAGCATTATCTCAGGAACAACACAAAGGGCCAGACTGTGCCTCCTCGTTCCATGCCTGGAAGGACCCCTCTGTGGGTGGATATGACAACTTGGGGAATTTCTGCACCACATATAAATTATGTTCGATATTATGGATTCTCGATATGTATTTTTCTCTGTGTGTCCATCAGAAGAAGAAATAAAAAGCGGTGAAGCAGTTAAAAATGAGAACGCTACAGGAACAGACAATATAATAGCAGAGCTGCTAAAAGCCGGTGGGATAAGTGCTATCAAAGCACTAGGAAAAATATATAAGTTCAGTTACCACGTCTCCAGTTTCTTGTTGATGACCAAGGACAGTGGGTACAGCAAGGCACCTCAATCTGTGCAACCAAACTGTAGCCTTGTGAAAGCAGGTTCTCCCCCTTTGCCCTTGCTGACTCTGTGAAGCCACAATTACTCACTAGCCATTGGATTTCCTTACTTCAGGAAAAGGAAGATGGCCTTGCCGTAGTAGATGCCATTGACAGCCTCGCGATGGCCGAGGTACGGTATGATGGAGTCAATCAGACCATAGGGCATCTGTTCCATTTCAGAGAAAATGAAAAGTGACCTTGGACAGGCGCTGACATTCCCTCGAATCCAGTTCTGAAGCTGCTCCTGTGGGAACGGGCAAGATAGTCCGTGAGCAGGAGAGTAGGAAGTCAAGATGGTGGCTGGATTATTTTTGGAGGAGGGATTCCACCACTGCTGTAACTTAGAGGCACTAAATATAATGCTAGTGATACATAAATGTAATCAAATCTCATGTTAGAGCCTCCCATTGACTTCAATGAGAGCAGGATCAGACTTTCAGTACACATCTGTGTGCTGGCAGGGTATTTGTCTGGGTGTTGACTTCCATGAGACATTTCAGTTGCCAGAGTGTCTAATTCTGAACTCCTCATTCATTAAAGTCAAGGGGAGTTTTTGTTGAATAGAGCTGAGGGTAGTAGGAAGAGCAGAAATATGGAAAAAGAAGGACCTATAATCTCATAAGATGTGGTAAATTCTATGTCCCTGTATACATAGCATCTAAATCCTTTGGACTAATATTCACTAAAAGGATACAGTCAGACAGTATGGGTCTCAAATTTGACCTTCCTGAATGTTTATAATCTAATGATGAACATCTAAATACCCTAAAAATGTCCAGGGTTTATCTAGGTCCAGAATCTATAGTAATAAATATGGGTGAAAATGTTTGGCTAGAGCAAGAGCTGGCTTGAACATCAGCTCAAAGGCTGAACCAACCCAAGTGTTTGGAGAGGCTCACACAAGTTTATGAACTTTATATCAGGCTGTGTCTACATTGCAAAGAAAAGTCAGAAAAAGATACACAAATTGCAAACTGCAATTTGTGTATCTTTTTCCGCTTTTCTTTCGGAAGAGGCTTTTCTGAAATTTGGCCTGTCTGCATGGGGCCAAATTTTGGGAAAACCTCCCCTTTCAGCACATCCCTTCTTCCTTGTACAATGAGGTTTACAGGGATGGCAAAAGAACGTGTTCACTTTTCTGAATTCTTGGTATCCTGGAAAAGCTCTGGAGTCTAGATGTACCTTCAGTTTTCACCCCCCTCTGCACTCTCCGGTTGTGCTCAGGATGGGGGGCAGAGATGCTGAAATTCCCTGGGCAGTGTGGGATCTGCATGCAGGACTCCTGACCTGTCCCCCCCTCTAGGAGAGCAGAGTCACAAGGGAAGTACCTTGTACTGCTGGATATGGTCAGCGTGTGGGAAATGCAAGACTGCGTTAAACTGATGGACAAAGCTCCTTCTTGCTTGGTGATGCTGGTACAGGTTCTGCGCAATGATCCTGCTGATGAAGGACTTGCCAGTGCCCGTCCAGCCATGGAAGGACATCACCAGCGGCTTCCTGGGCTGTTTGTCTCTGGCATGGCTGCTCAGCGCTTTCAGAACCACCTGGGTGGCAAGGTGCTGCCCGAAGACTTTCCGTTCCAAAGCCATCTGCAGGGCTGGAGGCATGATGAGATTTCAGCATCAGGAAGCGTTTTATCACCCCCTCCCTCCCAGGCTATTGTTAGGCTGCAGATGGGCAGAATGTTCCTCGTTAGCGTTATCATGGGGCTGTGTATAATGGGAGCTGTAGGTGTTGAGCTGCTTACTAGATTTGGCCCACAGCGTCTGTTGGTGGGAGGCCAAGCAGCTTGTGGAGGGTACCTGGGAACTCCCACTAAGACTATCACTGTATCTGGTGCCTCATACATGGCCCAGGGATGTGATCCTATAGTTCTAGGGGACAAGATTGTGGAAATTCCCAGATCCTCTTTAACTACCTTGATGATATGCAAGGTACTAAATAGGTGGGGTAAGACACGTCTCCCTGCTGGGTCTCTCCTGTTCTCAAAAAAGACCTGACATTTCAGTGGCAAGAAGTACATCAAGGACCACTGCCGAGAGGCGGAGGACTGGAGGAAATAAGTGTACCTTGAAGTAATTGGAGCTATGCCAGTTTTATCCAGCAAAGGATCTGGCCTGGAATCTGCAGCATAGTCCTTCAGGGAAAGGGTTAATTCAAGGCCCAACATGACTGGTGCCGAGAACACAATAAAGGGGATTTCCTAGGCTGCAAGGCTCATGGTTTGTGGAAAATTTCCAACGGACCATTGAGTGTCTCGGTTTCTGCTTCCTGGCACTAATCCCCTGAAGGCAGGGTGAGATCGGCTGGCCAACTTCCACTTTCACTGGGGATGGTGCTTTCTTCGCAGAAATGAAACTGAAAGGCTAAAGAGCTCAGAGGCAGGATGGGCTAGTGGTAAAAGCCAGGGACTCTGAACCTCATGGTTCTGCATTGTACTCCCACCACTAGGCCTGACGCATGCATCCAAAATTCTCACTCGTGACTTTGGGCCCTACACAGGGGTGGCCAGACCAGGGGAAGCCATGGTGTAAGGGGGTAGAGAAGAGTGAGTAGGGGGTGAGGTTTGGGTGCCAGTGCCCTCCACCCTCGCTTTTAGGAAGCTTCTGCCACTCCTGGCTCTGCAGTGATTGGGTGCTCAACTGGAAGCAGGGACAATGGGAGGATTCATTAGCTCATGGCTTTAAATTCACTCCTGGATTGTGCCAGCATAAAGCAGGGGATTCTTGGCAAGGTAAGTCCCTCGAAGGAGATGTTGTTGTGTCATGAGGTACCTGCAACCTCTTCTCTGCCAGCAGGGACCTTTGGAATGGGAGGAGGGGCATTGCTGGGGCATGCAGCGATGTAGGCCATTCCCTGGCCAGCATCTGCCAGCTTAAGCCCTGGTAAGAAGGAAAGCTGACTTCTCCCATCAGCACTCCTGAGGGAGGGTAGTGATGAAAAGGCGGCCTGCATGGCCCTGGTTTGAATCCCTCCACCCTGAATGCGATAGCATTCCTGAGGTCAGTCGGTCCCTTGGCTTCCTCCGCCCACGTCGTTAGCTTGCTGCTGTGTGACAGACCGGGCCGGTCTGGGCACAGCTGAGGGCGTCCGCTCAGGGTGAATTGCTCAAATCCGGGGCTCCTTACAGTCCCCAGACTGGTGACCTCTCCAAACCGGCCACAAACCAGTCCCACAGAGCGCTTCAGCTGCCTGCCTGAAGCCTCACGAGCAAAACCCCTCCGACACCCCAGCAATATCCGTGCCCCAGATGGCCCCGGGCCTCATACACCGGTGGGGGGGCTTAGCACCCAACCCCACCTACCCCAAACAAGTTCTGTCTGGTTCCAAGAACCCAGCCACAGATCCCTGGTCAATTTACCCTTTGGACCTTACCCACAAATCACGCTGGGCCAATCCTTTAGCATCTAACAACTAAAGGATTATTACCACAAGAAAGAAAAGCAGGAGAGCGAGGTTGCTAAAGAATCATACATTACATGCATCAAATCTCCCAGTTCTCGATGCAGGCTCTAGCAGAGATGTTACAGCTGCTGGTTTAAAAGTCCTTGTTGCACATCCTAGAATCAGGATGGGTCCACAGTTCTTTCCGGCTCTTCGATCCCTGCATTGCTGCCTCTGGGATGAAGTGCTGAGCTGAGAACAAAATGGCATCGACCACATGGCCTCTTTATACCTCCTTCCTGGCCTCTTCTGGTATGCAGCAGGTCACCTGGTCCTCAGCCTCTCTCTGCTGGCCGCTCTTAGGCGTCCGCCCTCATACTTTAGGTGTGTCCTTGGCCCATTGAGTGCCATTGTCCCACAGGGCCTCGCCAATTAGCATGTCCACAGGCCCGGGCTCTGCCCAATGCTCAGCCACTTGCAGAGAAGTATTCAGTATCCACACAGACTACAGATTCCTAACTACACACACAGACATTATACAACCACATAAATAGCTTACATAGGATTATCAGATAATAAGCTTGTATTTAGCACCCCCCATGGCCCCCTATTATACCATTGTTGGGGCCAGCCCCCCCACCTAGGGGTGCAGCCATGATCCGGCTGCTTCCCTCAAATTCCAGTAACATGACACCCCCAACGCAAAATTGATGCAGGAAGTGATGCTAGTAACATCACTGAGGGCATCACAGGCCTCCCCATGCTTTGGCTCTGTGTCATCACATGTTCTACCCAATGTTAGAAACAACAATACAGAGCTGGATGAGAGTATGAGAACCCAGTGAGCCTAAAATAGACTTCATTATTGCAAGGTCTGCCCTATTGATAACCATGTCCTTGCACTGTCTCACCAACCCAAGGTAGATCTTAGTAAGAACCACAGCTACTTGGATCTGCTTCTGCGGCATGATCCCTAAGTGTGTCAGGTGATTTTGCCCCGAGCTGACGAAAGTAGTGAATTTATTCAGGCCAGCTCTGGCAACTCTCTGAACAACAATGAACACTGTGCGAATGCAGGCATTCTCACCCCAAATCATGTAGGCATTTTTGAATTTAGCCACGAAAACAAAATGGTGGCATGCCTCAGTTTCCCTTTTCACACAGGACCTTCTGGCCGGAACCCTTTTTGTCCTGTAAAAAATTCCAAGACCAGTTCCAAGTGTTAACCATGAAATAGCAACATCACAATGACCCCTTACATACCGTCTGTCGTTTGGTACATCTCCAGACAGATTACATTTTCATAAGATCATGCATATTGTATACCTTTACATTTCTCTGCAACAATAATACATTGGTTACAAGAATTACCATCAGTAACAAGAACAATCCTATCTCCGGTGTATATTGACTTTCTCCGTCAGGCCCCTTCTCTGGCCCCACACCATTGCAGTTTTGGCCCTTCAGGTTCAAACTGCAAATCTTCTTGGCCAAAGCAAGTCCTGCCCCTCCCCCTTGTCCTCTGGGCTCCAGGCCTGAAACCTCTGGCCTGACCAAGACAAAGGGATGGCTGGGTGTGACTCCCTGGCTCACAATGGCCCTGGAATTCTCCCCCTTCCCCCACTCAGTGGGGTAACAGCAGTAGTCCACCTCCACCCTCTGTTTCCACATGGAACCAGCTATCCACTTCCCTGATTGATTATGAGTGTCCACCGTGTCCAGAGACGGGAGTTTAAATGCCATCTCCTGCATCCTAGAGAGAGTGACCACACAGCTGTTCTGCTCTGCATACTTAGCTACATAGTGTCTCAGATTCAGGAGAAGAACTAACTTCCCACTCTCCTCATTCACCTGGGAATAATCCTGTCCCAAAGACACTGACTTCCCAGCAAGCTGGTCACACACAGTCACTGGGTTAACAGCCTGCTCCAATTCTCTGGATGTTCCTGCCTCCTCTGGAACAACCCTCAGTCCCTCCGAGACCTCTCCACCACCATCCACCCTGGGTTTCCCTAAACCCAAGTCAGTGGAGTCACTGCCAACAGACAAGTTCTGTCCCTCAGGCACTGCAACAAGTGCCTCACACAACAAGCTGCTGCCTTTTACAGGCAGAGCTTTCTCCTGAATGCCTTTTCCA